TAAATATTAAGTTGAAGGTAAATGCTTAAAAATATCATTTGAGATCAAAATGAAAATCAGGTCAATCAAACGATGGTAGACATGTAAAGATGAGAAGATAAATAGTTGACTGATAAGCAAGGCATTCTCCAGTGTAAGCCAGTAGCAGAAAGCCAGAAACACTAAGCCCTACAAAAGCACACTCCAATGCATGACACACATACTTCCTCTCACCAGCACCAGCTTTGCCACCCTCCGTACATGTGGCAGACTCTTCCTGAAGTCTTACTATGCTTCACAACCCAGTATTAAGAAGGAGAGTTACCTAACTACATTTAAGTAATTGGAACATGGTAAATGGGTTTCTTTTTTTTTTTCCTATTTTCCCTTGTCCTGGGTATTCCTGAGAACTAAGGGGTGTGCTCATGGTGAACGTACCTAGTCACAACAAAAGGGGCATTCTTAGTAGACACTAAGCTAAAGTGGAAAGTGCAGACTTTTGCCCCAAAATATAAATGGGAAACAGAGGCAAAGGAGTTCTAGATGTGAGAGATACTGGACTGGAAACCCTGTGCAGGCAGACATTTTTTATTTGTTTAGCTCTCTAGGGAAACAGGTGGCAAAGGGGTCCTGTGGCTCAGATCTGGCCGGCCAGCAGCTCTGTAGCTGCAGTTCACTGGGCTATGGCTGTGCTCAGTCACTGGTATTTTGCCAGGAGTTGTTCTCACTTCACAGCGAGCACAAGTATGTGCAACCGAGCCTTGGCTGCCAACCCTTCTGGAATATCCCCGGAACAGAAACTAGTAGAGGCTAAGTCTTTTTTTTTTTATTGCTTAAACAAAACTGACAAATATCTAATTACTATTTACATAAGAAAAATGTGAAAAAAATTTTAAACCACCAAGGTTCAAGATGCATATGCAGAAATGGGAAATGTGCTTTATAGAAAAGACCCAAAGAAATATGATTTATTAAGTAGTCATGCTTGTTTCCAGAGGGGAGATAGACTGTGGAGTCCAAGTAAGAATGAGAAAATCTCTCCGGCGCTATCATCCGATATAGTCTATTCAAATAATTTAATCATTTCCCACCAAGTCACGCACACTTGCGTATAGCATCTTCCTTTCATACATACAAAAGCAACAAGGGGAGAAGGATAAGACTCCTGTCTCTTATAGTATATGCAGGCTACCTGCCCTAGGGTGGGTGTAGCACTCATACATTTAATCCCAGCATCACATACTCTAGATTCAGCCAACCCTGGAAAGACCACCCTATGAGTGCATAAAGCTTTGGGGGGACATCCAAACACAAACCATACTAATAATCTAGCAGTGCCATAGCTGATAAGGTTAATCATGAGTTCATGTGTTTCTTTACTGAGTAAGCTTCACTAAGCAACACCTATGTGTCCTGTGGCCCATCTATGGCTTGGTTCTAGAAATACAAAAATAAAAGATAGTTCTTCTGCTAAAGGAAGTCGCAATTATGTTATTAATTTCCAAAGGTAGTAGCACTGGTGACTTAAATAAGAGGTTAGTTTGCCATTTAAATCAGAATAAAATGATAGGGTAGATGTGAAGAAAAAGATGACTTCAAGTAGTGACATTGAACAGGGATTCAGGATGGACATTAGTTAACTATTTCTGAATAACATACAAGGTGACCACTAAAAAAACAGCATCCACGCAAAGATAGTACTACCTTTCCTGCTCTTTGTCTCCATGTCTATGAATCAGAAGTGGTCAAGGAAGGGAGGACAGAGAGATGAACTAATTATCTTCAATGATCAGATCAAGGAACACTACTCGACATACTCCAACAACGAGCCTTTCCAAAGCAGGCCTGCAAGATCCTTATTTAAAAGAACTTGATTATACGTCAGGCCATAGTAACAGCTAAATGATGTTAAAATTTTCTCTTAACATTGACTTCACAAAATAAATTCTTATTTTCCTTAATTACATGTGACATTGGAGGTGGCCTGGAAGGGGGTTCCTTTTCTCTGCAATCTGTATCTCTCATTCAGAATTGTACCTTAGACCCTGACTTTGCAAATCAAAATGAGAAGGCAATACATCTGTCACTTTTATAAAGATAAGGATTCAGGAAGGGTGATTCAATTAGTTATGTCTCAAAAATTGAGAAGGCCCAAGGATGATTGGAATTCTGTGCCACAGACGTTATTCTTGGAAATTTTAACTTACACACCATGAATATGTATCCTCCCATTCCCACTAGATATATATGCAATTTCTTCACAAGTTCTACTAATTTTTTCCTTCTGCTGTGCTGCATTGCTTAATTTGCCCTTGCAGCCACAGTGGAGTTGATGCTGCCTTCTCTGCAAGCTGTCCCCATACACCTCCTGCAGCAAGCCAGCTCCGGCGGCCTAACTCAGACAGTTCTTCCTCCATTGCCGAATAGATCGCCTGTCATAGAGCCACCCACACTGATCACACAGCTGTGACTGTGGTTTCTACACTGCAGATCTACACGGCAGATCCCTAGAGGAAGACTGTCCTGTTCCTCTTTTCCCTAGCACCTAACACAGGAAGGACCATAAAGAGAATCCTTGGGAAGGCTTCCAATCAAACCATAGCCCACTCTGAAGCATTTCTAGGTGTTGATGGGCTGCTGAAGATCAGTACCTATGAATCTGAGCAGCCCCCTGATTTTCTCTCCCAGTGTGCACAGGACTCCAAAAATCCATGACCACTGAGCCCACAGGGAAGCTTAACAATGCATCGTGGGAGTTAAGAGAAAAATACAACATTTCTGCAAGTTCCACTTGAAAAGTTGGCAATGCCTAAGAAGGCTTATAGTGAGTCTGTTTTCCTTAAGTCAGTGCCTCTGCCCTTTATGCAGGAAAGCTGTGTAAGAGTTTCCTCATCAAGTGCCAAATGAATAGGAATTTAGAAAGACTCAACTACAAAACAACTTGTAGTTCTGCAAAAGAGTATCTGTCTACCTAGATGCGTTCAGTGTGTCAGAACTCAGTGCCATGGTAACCAGCAAGTATGGAAGGTTTTATGAAAAGTCTTCCTTTGTTTTGTTTTGTTTTGTTTTTTTGGGTACCAGTAATCAAACTCAGAAGAAAAGTCTTCCTTTCAATTAATCTTACTAGCAGGCTCTATCTCAGTCTCCTTTTGCTCGGGTTTTTCATGTTTATTTTCCTCTAACACCTTTCCACATGGAGGTAGGAAATGCATAATAATAATAGAAAATAACGTGTTTTTAACTGAAATACTGGTTCAAAGCTAGTACATGCACAATTAAGTATATTTTGTGATGAGTTATTTTTCACAGGCAATTTAAAGCACATTAATATTGGGATGCTAAAACTCAGGCGTTTTATCTTATCTTTTTCTTCCCCTATTTAGGAATGAATTGAAGAAAAGTTTCACTTTTGAGATTACTTTTTTAAAAGGAAATGGCAAGAATCACTTTGAAAAATAATGGTATTTAACTAGAAGTTCTCTGAAGAAATTTTAAGCTTCTCCAGAATTAATAGTAAAAGGAGAAGAAAGGAGGAAAAAAAAATTAAAGCAGCACACCTCTGTGAAGATGGCACCAGGCACAAGTTCATGGTGTGGGGCTGGGGGCGTAGCTCAGTGGCAGAGCAATTCCTAGCTTGCACAAGGCCCTGGGTTCAATCCTCAGTACCAGAGTAGGAAAAAATTCAAGGTTAATTTCGTATCTTGGCGTAAGGTACTGACATTCAAGATTCGTCGTACTGCAGCAGAGTTCTGAGTACACTAAACTTTCAGCTTGGGGACATTGCATAGGCCACTCACTCTATCAAAAGGATGAGACCTGGCTTATCACAGTTACCAATACATAACAGATACTTAAAGTAAAATAAATTGCCCAGACACTTACAGTAAAATAAACAAAATACATATTGAATCCTATATTTGCATTTTATACTCCATCTGCATTTTACAACATACTACATATGTATAACCCCCTGGCAGCAGTTTTAACTATTTTCTAAGTTTTCAGTCATTACTCTTGGTTCTCAGTCACTGGTTTACATTTCTGGTCACCATTCTAAGGTCAAGTCTACATTTTCAGTCACTGGTCTAAGAGCTCCACCTCTAGTCTAGGTTCTTGACTCTTTTCCAACTTCCTATACTCTCTTCCTATGAAAACAAAAGCTTAAATAAAAAACAACAAAAAATGTGGTAAGAATGAAACAAGTAAGTTCAAAATTAAGAAGGCAAAGAGTTCACAAATATGTCTTGCAAGGTAATCATTAGATAGGTAGGTAAGACAGGATGCAATAAAACTTCAATGACCAACTAACGGCCGAAGGTCTGTGCCCCTGGGGATGGATGTGACGAGCTCCACTTGTCTCTATCGGAGCTTCCCATGCATCAGTGCAAATTCAACTCATGCTACTTGATTATATTTAGCCCCCACCCAAAAAAAGTTATTTTACTGAAAAAAAAAGGAACAGAATCAGGGAAACTCATGCAACACTTGCATTTTTGTTAAGGGCGTTGTGGTCCTTACAGTAGTGAAGTCTGGAGTACTAGGAAATTTTCTAAAACTTCAAAGATTTTTAGAAATCATCAAAATTGTGTAAAATTATAAAACTCAATAATCATAGAGGCAAATTTAAATCATCATCTAAGTTACCCAGGTCACTTTTATTGGATGAGTCTTTCTAAACAATCACATTAAGGTCTCACTAACTTTTTATTTCCAAGTAGAATTCAGACTCTAAAGTCATCAATTTACAGCAAAGTCAAAAGTGTGCTCAGATGTGCTGAACAATAAACTTATTAGGACATTTTAAATGCATGATTTCTTCCCATGCCTGAGAAAGCTCTCTTCATTAGGCTAAGTGCTTGCTGTGATTCGGACATATACGTTGGAATAAAGTAGCAGTTGCCCCCAAGTGAAAATGTTTCCCATTAAGCATATGCTAGGTCAACACCACTCTACATCTGAGCATAAATGCAGATAAAACACTTCACATTATGATTCAATTAAAAACCTCCAAGATACGTTACCTGCCGCCTCGCGCACTGAAAGGCACTACATGGATTCCCAGAGGCCCTCCATCGTTGGAGACTTGTACGAGCTTTACCATATCACTGTGAGACAATGATGAATGAGGGAGCATGAACATGTACTGTAAACAAACCGAAACTGAAACAAACAACACAAAGACCGCCACAACACAGACACTCAACAAAACAACAAAAGAGAACGAAACAACTGTCCCACCAAGCACACAGGCATACACATACAAACTGGGGAATAAAAGCATGGTGGTGAAGGCAACGTCAAACACTACATACCTGAACGCTAGTCTGATGGCATGGAGGGAGAGCAATCATCAGAAATAACTGCGTTAAAAATGACACAGACCATTTCTCTTGGACCATACTGTTGTGTGTAATATGAGTTCATGCTTTGCAAGTCAAATCTCTAGACTTCTGCCTTAATGTGTCACTCTGGTATCTAGTTCAAGGACCCTAAAGACTAGCTGAACAATAGCATTACAGCTACATAGCACTTGGTAATTTAAAAAGTGCTCTAATATATGTCATACCACTAGTCCCTCCAATAAAGTAATGAGATCAAAGTTTCCACCCTCATAGGCGATTCTGGTTGTCCCTACTGCCCATTCTTCTACACTAATGGAAAATCACTGTTTCCTTAAGTGCCATAAGAACACTGGAACCGTGGGCTGTAAAACTCCATTCTCAAAAACTACCTTCTTTTAGGCCGGGCGTGGTGGCGCACGCCTGTAATCCCAGTACTCGGGAGGCTGAGGCAGGAGGATCATTGTGAGTTGGAGACCAGCCTGGGCTACAAAGTGAGCTCAAGGCCAGTCTGAACTGCAAAGCGAGACCCTGTCTCAAAAAGACAAAAAAAAAAAACACTACCCTCTTTTAGACACTGCTAATACAATTTGAACATCTCTTAAAACTAAGAATGGTGTGATTGAAATAAATTTATTTTCTTCCACAGTCTTTCTAAAAAATATCTCAGGCATGGCAAGTATTTTTTTAAATAGAAACACTCCAAGTGCTGGTTAGGGTTTATCTAAACATTATCTGATTCTAGAGGTGGCTCAATCTCACCAAAAAGGTACTTGGAGCTCTCCCTTGGAAGATCAAGAGAAGACAGAATGAAGTATAAAAATGTTAATATACTTCATTCAGCACCCCAAGCTTTTACCAACATCAAAGAAAGAATCTGGAAGGTCTGCAGTCCCTGGTCTAAGCTATCAAAGGAAGAGGTCCTGAGACCATCTTCCATTTCAAACATATCAATATTTAAGATAATTGGAAAGCACTGAAAAAGATTTGATTTGTCCTTATATTTAAAAATCACATTCAAGGTACTAGATATATGACCTCTAATTTTTCATCAAATATCTTGAAATATTATTTGTTCAATCAAAAAAGTATTTATGCTCTAATGCCCAATGTTTACATGATCCAATTAGTCTTTCAAATAAGTATATCCATGATTTTCTTTAATCCGGCAAAGTTGAAGAACAAACAAATGACCAAAATATCAACAAACAAAGCAATCTGACAACAGTTACTATGTTTACAGTGCTATTAACATGACCATTTTCCATCAAATACTATTTGCTATTCTAACTTAATAGTATTTGCCAAGGCATGAAACTCTGGACAGGTACATGTGAATGACCATGCAATGCTGTTCAAATTGCAGTGTTAACTCAACAGATGAAAGATGTGCTTTAGAAGATCAAATCAGTGCAAGCCATGTTAAGCACAAACATTCCTCATGCCATATGCTTTCAGAATCCTTATTGCAGTTAATGATACTACATGAATATTACAAATCTAGTTAAAACCATGAGTAACTTACTCCAGAGAAAAGCTGGTTACACTCTCCAAACCAGTGTCTGCATGGCCCACTGGCTCCACTCGGCTGCTGTCTTCTGCCGACCCATCCTCCTCCTAGAAGCCACAGACAGACACAAGGAGAAGAGCACTCGGTTAGGTCTGTCTAGCAGTGAGAAAGGAAGTTAATACCAAGTCCAACGGGCATTACAGCCACATGAACTAGATCTTCTCCAGGGAGCATAACCTTTAATGATAAGATGGGTGTGCAAATGTGAAAAGCTCAACTTCGCCATATCCCCAGAGGTGAACAAGACACTACCAGAGAAGGAAAGAACATTGAACTTCAATTTATGCCAGTTTTCTTCACTTGTTATTTTAATTTCTCCTGATGTATATTTTAAGAAGCAAGTATGTATTACTACAACATTAAGATATATTAATAAACAAATGTATGTGACACTGGGTACGTATGTTTAAAAATGTTACAAACGAAAACAGCCAAGACTGATGACAGCCAGGGCCACTACCAAAACCAAAGAAGTCATCGTGTGTCAGCTCCTCAGTTCCCACTAACAGAGACAGTCAAAATGAGCACAGGGTGAGTGTAATCTCAAGTTAAAATCTTTTACACTGGGAAATTTCACATAGCCTAACCGGCTAACTATTTAGAGTTATCTGTCAAGGCAGTAAGGTCTCAGCCATGAAGAATCACTTCTGTCTGTCTTTATCTCAAGGATCAAGCATGAAGAAAAAACACAAATAGCAATGTAATCAGCCTCCACATTTGTATCCATCCTTCCTCCAACACATGTATCCAAGTATGGTACACATTGGGTAAGCATGTCTGTGCTACAAAGCGTGCATGTGGAAATGATGTGGTTGTTTAAAGAAAGAATGAAGTTCCATTCAAGAATATTCCTTAATTTATAACCCCGGCCACTGTCTCTTTCTTAAGGAATTTACTAATTTAAGTGTTACTTAAAATGGCTTTTGAAGACTATTTGAATAAGGATAAACATGCCGAACTGCTATCAATGTTCTGCTAACCAAATTAGCATATTTAGAAAAGACTCAGATTGTCCAAATACAATGGTAAAGAGGCCCACACGTACTTTACCTGAGATCCCTAGTGTCTGGCACCTATTAAGTACTCTGTAAATATTTTGCTAATTAAAGCAAAATCATCCCTAGGAATCTCTGGGGATGTCACAAAGCAAAGAAGTAAAATTTATTTAATCTGTTTCTTGGAAGTCTACATGTAAAATTTACATATAAAGATAATTTGCTGGATTTCCTTTTTTTTTAACTTTAGAAACTTGACATCAGAGATGGTATTGTGAACTTATTAAACTCCCTGTGTTAGGAAAGAAAATCAGTCATGGGAAAAACATTCTATATTTTTACTCTTGTATTTGAGACTCAGAGTCATCAATAGAGATATAAATCAACAAAGCGATAAGCAAGAACCACAGGACCAAGACACAATGACAAGCAACATATTAAGTTACAGAAGGGACGTAAGGGCAGCAGCAGAGCACTCATAGTGCCCCACTGGCATTTGCTGTGGGAACCCAGCAAGCCATGAAGGCACCGTGGCTCCCCGGGAACCGCGGATGTGTTCCATGCATCCCAGCTGAGGGGCACATGGAGCCAGGCTCCGCGAAGATGGATGATCCTGTGTTGGAGAGGCTCTAATATGTCCTTCTTAGTCATCTATCTCTCTTATGCACGGCACATAATACATCTCAAAGGTTAACAGCATCTTGAACCTGCCTAAGAACAGCACTCTGAATATAAACACCGACTCCCAAAGGATGCTTTTCCACTGGGACCAGGGGAGGGGAGGAGAGCGACGTTTACAAACCAGATGTAAGCCATAAAAATAATCGTACTTTAGAGATATTCTGATTCAGGATTAATAATTTAAGCTCTACTGAAATGCCATAAGGATGTATGTCCAGCTGAAAGCCCTATGCTACACTACAAAATAGTCACATAAGTGGAATAACCCCAATGCCAGCGATAAACCCGTAACTGCTAATCCACACATTCACTGCTCCCACGGCCCACCCTCAGCCCCCAGGGCACACCACATAATATTCAGGGAGCTGCATGTGGGGTTGAGTGTGGACTGCAGCGCTCAGTGCAGCGAGGCGCAGCTGCAGGTACTGTGAGAACCACAAGTTAGAATTTCCCAACACCTCCCTGTGTAAATATCAGCTCCTATATGATTTTGCTTTGCTGTCTGGTACTCTTCTTAAAAGCTGGGACTGAACATAGTTACTTTTAGTAAGAGTAACACACTGGATTCCACTGTAACCATAACAAATGGTGCTTAGTTACTGTATACATCAAATCAATATTTAAAAGCTACAGCATTACTCTAGATAGTGTTAAAGAAATTCCTCATGAGACAGTACATTTTCTTTTCCCTCGCTCCATTTTATTGAAGTACAGAAGGTAAGAATATAGGTTCAAGAGTTAAAATGTTAAAAATTAAAACAAGGAAAAGTTAAAAATACTTGAATGTGAATACTAACTCTAATATTTGCTAATTTTACAGCCCTGCACATGTTATATACCCTTCTATTTAATGGGAACAGTAAGAACATATTCTTCTTAGGACTAAAAAGAAGACTATACAAGGGTGGTATGGTGCCCAACACACAGTAATTGCCAAACAGCAATTCACAAATGCTATCAAAAGCCAAAACAAAGAGTAAGTTTCTGGTACAAAAACACACCTTGATAACTATGTAAGGGTAATTATGCACACATAAGATATTTTAGTACCATTTGTCCATTCATGCTCCATGTGGGTTGCAAAACAATTGGATACAAACTTAACTATTGTAAAAATTGTCTATAATTGGCAAACTTGTATAACACCTGATATTTACTGTGCTTTGCAGTACACAAACTATTTTCATTGTAAAATATTTTTGGGAGGAAAATAAATCAAGAAAAAGATAAACTACTGAATGCTACAATCAAGTGAATGGCAGGAGAAAGAGTATGGGTTGGTTAGTAGTTAAGGTAATTTTCCAAAAAGAAAGTAAATGTCAAGAACTGTAGAGCACTTTGTAAATATAATCATGATGCATCATTTAAAAGATATGTTAATATTAAAGAGAGTTGTAAAGCACCCTGATATCAGCCTCCCGGGATGCTGACAGAAGATACGCCACTGCTGGAACAGAGAGAACACTGATTACTATGCACAACTCCTTTAGTCAGAGCACTGTCCTTATACGCAGTGGTTTCTTAAGCAAAAATCCTCACCAGGGCCATAAAGAGAGCCAGGGGCCTCTGGCACACACAGAAGAACTCTGGATGTACGGAACTCAAACCTTTTACACAACAGCAAACACACCTGCTTACTGCTACAGAGGTAGACACTATGGCTACGCCGCCAAACATCCTCAAAACAATGCTCTCTATCCTCACGTTGTACAAAAATGCAAGAGTGCCATGCAGAATTTTCCCTGAACAACAGGTTTGACTGAAGCATTGGCAAATAACAACATCTGCACGATTACTAGCATATCCTTAACAACTGCTCTGCGATGGCAATGCCTGAAGTTGTAACACTAAATTTTGCTAGATAGAAAAGTTATACCTTCTATATAAAGAAAAAATGATTTTTGCTCAACAAAACAAAAAAATCAAATCAAGCGTGAGTTGATTGTTCTTTGCTTTTTTTGTTTTGCTGTTTTTCCTTTTAAGACAGGGTTTCACTATGTAGTTCAGCCTGGCCTCAAACTCAACATGAAGCCCAGGTCAGCCTTAAACTCACTTGTGATCCTCCTGCCTGAGCCTCCCAAATGCTAGGATTACAGACATGTGCCACCATGCCTACCAAGGACAGTTTCTTATAAAACTGTTTTGGCATGAGGTCCAGCAAACTCCAATGAAACAGGCTAAGAAGCCAAGGAAAATAGCAGAATATGGGCAGACCAACCCCCAATGGAAGCAGAAACCAGTTCTGACTGGAGCTGAAGGGCTGTTGAGTCAGGGAAGTCATCTCCATGAGAAAAAAAATTAATAAACGGCCTGGTACTTTTAAATATTTGCTAAATAATAGACATTTAACAACCCTGACAAAGAACTGTAGGGAAAAAAATTAAAGATACATATCAAGAAAATAAAACAAAGTTTTAAAAAGCCACAGAAATTTTACCTTTGAGAAAGAAAGTATAAAAGTTCAGAGTTCCTGACTGCTTACCCAGTGAGCGATTCTCACATGGCCATGCCATGTGAAGGGTTACTTTTTTTTTAACCCGTGCTGAGATCAAACCTGGTGCCTCCTTCACGCTAGGTACATGCTGCATCCCTAAGTTACACCTCAGCCCTGAATTGAACCTCTGCTGTAGCAATATTAAGACCAATTAGGTACTCTGTATTTCATTCCCCCTTTTTTTGATTATAAAAATAGCTAATCATATTTTAAGGAGTGCACTCTGAATCACTCTGCAATGCTTCCGAGTTCTAGATGTGTTGTTCCCATTAGATTTAAATGGTCTGTTTTTCTTTTAAGACAGAGAAAAGAAACATTGGATAAGCCCGTGAGAGAAGTAAGTTTTAGATAGGTTAGGAATACCTGGGAGGGAAAGGGAAATGGAAATTTATGTAAAAACTATTTTGAGCTTCTAGTACAGAGGAATAAGTTTATTATCGTGCACATACCTGTAGTATAAAGAGTGCCAATAGGTAACAGTATTTATTTTATTTTTTATGCATATATGTTTTGGTACTAGGATTGAACCCAGGGTCTCCCAGGAAGCCCTCTGGCTCCGATCTATACCCCTAGCCTTAGATAACACATTTTTGAAATCACAAGTGATAATATAAAGTAAAGCAAAATTTGGTTCAACTCTTAAATGTCATTTGTATTTGGAAATTTTTCTGGCTCTGTCAACCTCCATCTGAATGCTAGATATCTTCACCAGCTTCACACATTAAAAAAAAAAAAAAATCCAAAAATTTCAGGTGGCTATCACTGTAAAGTTGTACCAATTGTCACTAAAACAGTTAAGACTTGGATTCTGCCTCTGCCATTTACCATAGAAAATAAGGCTACAAATGTTTTTGAAACAGGAAACACCAAACCACAC